GCGGAAAACACGCAGAGCCACTAGATAGCAGACTTCACCCATTGGCAAGTGCGGAAACACAAACAGACAAACAAACAAACAAACAAACACACAGAGCCGCTAAAAACAGTACTTCACGCCCACTCCGTGGGGTGAAGTAATAAAGATTCAGTAAATCAGAAATGAAGTACTTTTGAAATATTTATTTCATGTAATATTGGATCATATAGATGAAAATAGGTGAACAAATAACAATATACACTAAAAACAAAAATAACAATGTATTTTTGAGAGTATAAATCAATATCTTGTGGAGCCACCCTTTACTTTGATTACAGCATTTATTCTTTCCAGCATGGTTTTCACATATATTTTTATTTCCTCACTGCTAAACCATTCCATTTGAAGTTCATTCCAAAGAGATTCTTTCAATGTTACAACAGATTTGTTCATCTTGGTGTCAAGCAAATATCAGATTTGCTCAATCAAATTAAGATCTGGACATTGAGCTGGCCAAATCATAACTTTCATGTCACCAGATTGTTCTTTCTGACTGAGATAATTCTTGCACAACTTAGAAATGTACTTAGGATCAATATCTTGTTGAAAATAAAATCCCCGACCAATCACTTTCTCTCCAGATGGCAATGCATGCCTCACAAGGATGTTGTGATACTTCTTTTGATCCATGATTCTGTCGATTTTTATGAGATCACTGGCTCCTTTTGAGCAGACTGAACCCAAAACTATAATGTCACCACCTCCATGTTTTACTGAAGGGGTTAAACAGTCATTTTTGAAACTCTCCAATTCTATGGTGCGCATAAGTTCTGTGTTTGGGTGAGAAAATTTAGAATTTTGATTCATTAGTCCAAAAGACTAGCTCTCAGTCTGCTGGTGCATGTCCAATCCTTGAATTTCTTGGCAAACTCAAGTCTTTTTTTGATGTTGCCAGTTTTGCTGTCAACTATCATTTTTTTATACTTGTCATACAAAAATAACAAACATCAGAGGCACTTAAGTTTTATTTAGCACTTCTATTGCCGCTAGTTTTCAGCAAATTGGTCTCTTTGATTTGCTTAATGGTGTTTCTTACAGTGCCATAGCAAGATTTAACGTCTTCAGAAATTTTTCTAAGTGACCAACAATCATCATGTGAGGCCACAATTCGGCGAGAAGCAATCTCTGAGAGCTCCTTCCATTGTACCATTGTGTTTAACACTGTGACATTGCTCAAAGTTCATATCACCTTACGTATATACTCAAACAACTGACCACTGGAGGTAATTTTGCAGAGTAATGTTGCCTCAAACCAGTTTAAACAATTTTTTTTAGCATCAATAATCATAGAATGAGCCTTCAAATATGCATTCATGCAATGCAAAGGTAAAAAAATTTATAAATGTTGAGACACCTTTCAGTTGCTATCAAAACATTGATGTTTTCAGTGTTTTTGTGTATTACCTATATTTTTACCTCAATATACTTGTATTAATGATTTTTTTTTAATTCTCATGGCCTACAATAGTATTTTTCAATACATTTTCACTAAAGAAAAAAGAAAAAGAAGCATCCACTCACTCAAATCTGAGCAAAAATCTTTAATTCGCAAGCTTTCGGTCTGAGTCCTTCTTCAAGGCAAGAAATGACTAGCAAGTGAATGCAGCAGTACAAACGGTTAGAAGTACTTTCCTTCATTAGCCTTAATACAAAACATGTATTAACAATTAAGTTTCTGGCTACACATCAAGGAATTTAATCCTTGATACAGTAGATTATTTAACCCAATTACTAAAGAGACAATTTGAAAATACGCATCACAATCATTATAAATACACAATTTGCTGCATAAATTTCAGACTGAAAGCATCAAAATAAGAATACAAAATCTACAATATTCATAACAAAACACTCATATCAAAATCTTCTTTAAAATGACCTCCTGGGAGATGACAAGGTGGTGCACCACATGTTGAAGAAGGAGTTCTGCCATCTTTTTGGTCGTGGGCAGCCTTGCCAGAGAGACAAAGAGACTGCCTTCAAGTATTGGTCCACAATAGTTAAAAGCACTATAAACCCATCCGACTCAGTCAGCCTGGTGACAAAGTCCATGACAATCCAACCCCATGGCCAGTGGGGAGCTTAATGGAGCTGGAGAGGGGCACTGGGGCAGGTGTTACAGGCAGCAAAATACTCTCGGATGTCCCACCGGACAATAGGCCACCAAAACTGACAACAGATGAGGAATAAAATGCAGGAAACCCTTGGATGGCATGCTAAGGCCAAGGTATGGACTCAGGCAAGGACTTCGGCTCCCACAACAACCTATGAGACACAAAAATACGGTTCACAGGACACTCCTGGGGAATGGGACTGGAGCAGAGCGCCTCCTTCATACTGTGCTCCACCTCCAACTTTGTACCAGCCAGTAGGCATCGGTAAGGAATCACAGAAATATGGACCTTTTCAAAATTGAGAGAGTACATGTGAGACAGGACATCAGGTTTGACATTCTTTGAACCTGAGTGATAAGTGAGAGTGAAATTAAAATGGGCAAAAAGGGACCACCGACCCTGTCAGGGATTGAGTATATTGGCAGAGTTGAGGTATATTTGGTCGTGGCGGTGTGTCCAAACCCGGAAGGGGGAGCAGGACCCCTCAAGCCAGTGCCTCCATTCCTCAACAGCCAGCTTGATGGCTAGGAGCTCACAATGATTTTTTCCGCACTGTAGGGGACACCTGATGGGAGAAGAAAGCACAAGGGTGTACCTTGCCATCAGCCGCCATCTCGGAGAGAATGGCCCCAATGCCAACATCCAAAGTGTCAAATTCAACAATGAACTGGCGCTGGGGGTCTGGATGAGCTAGGACAGGAGTGCTGGTGAATTTTCTTTTAAGCTGGTGGAAGGTGGAGGTGGTCTGAGGGGTCCAGCAGAAAGGAATCTGAGGAGAGGTGAGGGCTGTTAGAGGAGTGGTGGTGGTGGAATAGCTTCTGATGACCTGCCTGTAAAAGTTGGCAAAGCCCAGGAAATGCTGCAACTGCTAATGATTCTTGGGGACTGGCTAATCCAGGACAGCATGCAGTTTCTGCTGATCTTTTTTGAGCTCTCCTTGGGAAATCATGAGACTAATACATTTTTTGCACAGACTATTGATTAAATTTGCACTTCTCTGGCTTTAAGAAAAGCTGGTCCTCAAGAAGTCATTGGATCACTTAGAGGATGTCTTGGGTAGCTTTCTCCCGGGAGTGGGAAAACACCGGGTTGTCATCAAGATACACATACACAGAACAGGAGACCATGTCACTGAGGGCATCATTGATCAGGTTCTGGAGCACAATGGGGGTGTTAATGAGCCAGCCGGGGGGTAGTTGAACACTGTCTTTCATTCATGTCCTTCCTTAATACGAAACAGGTGGGATGTATGGTAGATATCCAGCTTAGTGAAGTAATGACAATATTTCAGATTGGAGAAGGCTGAATCCATAGAGGGAGCGGGTAGCGGTTCTTGACAGTGATGAAATTCAGACCTCGGCAGGCCGTCTTTTTTTACATGAACAAGAAGCCAACACTGACAGGTGAAGACAAGGATAGGATGATGCTGGAAGCCAGGGCCCTGGAGATATACTCGCCCATTGCTCTGGATTCTGGGACTGACTGGAAATACAGCCTGCCCTTAGGGGATGACGTTCTGGGGAGGAGGTCAAAAGCACAGTCATATGGGTGGTGAGGAGGAAGTGACATAATCTACGACCTGCAGAAGGCCTGGCAGAGGTCATGGTACATGGAAGGGACACCTTTAATGTCCACCAATTTCTTGTGGCCGAAAGGAAGAAGTGGCTGGCCCTGAAGGAGAAGGATCTGGGGACAAATTCTTTGGTCTACCCGCCATTCCTGGAGATAAATGTCAATCCTGAGGGCCATCAGCATCGGGGGGACAGGATGCAGTTAGTCAACTCATCCAGTATCCATTCTGCCAGGCCATGCTGGAAGGTGTCGTCTAACACCTGTGGATCCCATAGGGAGGATGCAGCCAGAGTGCGGAATTCAATGGAGTAGTTGGAGACAAATGAAATGCCCTGATGAAGAGGAAGGAGGCACTCTGCAGCAGTTCGTCCGAAGCAGGAGCAGTCAAAGACCTTCTTTAGTTTGTCAAGAAATGCAAAATGGGAGTGTACAGCTGGATCCTCAGCTTCCCAGCATGCAACAGCCCAGTTGTGGACATGCCCCATCAGATGTGTGATGGAAACAGCAATCCTGGAACATTCATTGATGAAGGAGGATGGCCAGTGGCGGCTGGCCAATAGAGGGCACTAGGGTGCTGCCCTCCCTTGTGGAGAATGTGTTTTTATTTTTTATTTAATTTTTTAAATAAAAAAAAATCTAACACTAGCGATAATTGCTTATTTATTTAAGTATGTACGTTTTTAAAATTTACAATAACGTATATTGTATAAAATGTAAATAAATATGTTCAGTGAAATTGTGGGAAACAAGCATTTAGGGGCACTGGAACAGCGCCTGTAAAGCAGAGATGAGTAACCAACAAAGGACTGTTGCTCGGGTAAGATAGGAGTATTGCAAAACAAATCTGACTAATCAGCGTCTTCGAAAATAATGTCCGAAGGGTGATTCTGATAGCGCCCAAGCCCGGTCGCGAGGGCTGATCTTTTTAGAATTACAGATCAGTGGTCGCAAGCCGCATGACATATGCTAGCTAGATAGCCACTCTACACCCACATATCTGACTAGCTATCTGGCTAGCTGGCCTAGTCATCTAAAAGTAAGTCTGATTCAAGTCTAATGGCCCATTGGGCTGGTGCTTAACCCCGGTTTCGTGGCATGAAGCGACTAGGAGTATTACTGCTCCCCCTGGATGGGATGCCAGTCCATCGCAGGTACTTCCCCAGCTCTTCGTCAAGTTTCCCTGACTATTTGCTGGTACCCATTTATACACCTGGGTAGAGTAAGGCGTGAAGTGGAGTGTGGGAGTGAAGTGTCTTGCCCAAGAATACATGCGAAGGCCGTGGCCAGGGCTTGAACCCAGGACCTTTTGATCCCAAGTCAAGCCCACTTAACGACTGCGCTATCGCGTCTCCAGTCGTCTAAAAGGATGAAATCTTTTCTCTAGTCACAAATGTTTTGCCTACTACTGTGGCTACAGGACTGGAGTGCACCAGCAAGGCATAAAAAAGTAGGTATTAACTCTTAGGTTGGTCGTACAGACGTCCGACTTCGTGATTTGTGTTTAAATCAAGTGCAGCAGGCCTGACAGAACATGGGCATTGATGTAAATACAAGCAAAGCACAGGTCATTGCCTAGCAATACCCATTACGTGAAGCACACTCTTACTTCTGTGTTTGAAAAAGCTTGCTTACAAGTTAGGTAGCATGAGGTTGACCCAAAGAAGTGGAAAATAGCAAAATAAAGAAACTAGAGTTGTGTTCACAGAATAGACATTGTCACAGCTAAATTAAATTAATTACATTAATTTGATTTTTTTTTTGTCACTTTCCCTACAGATGTTATCAAGAAAAATACACAAGTCAATTTGTCTTTTTCAAGTTCAGTTTCAAATGGAAAGCTTTAGTTTGTACAGAGTGCAGTATATTATTAGCTGTCTGTTTTTGTGTAAAAATTACTCTGACGTTTATTACTGGAATGAAATGATTATCGACTATTCCTAAAAGTACTGGTATCCTGCCATTTGTGTTGAATCCTAGTGGGATGGTTACTGAAAACTGAGTTTGGCATCGCACAGCCCCACCGGGAATATTTTTCACCAACCGCCACTGAGGATGGCTGTAGGTCCAACACCATGGAGCTCTGTGACAGGAAGCTTCGGCAGGCAGAGGGGTTACTGTTGCACAGCTCCAGTTGAAGAAGGTCGGGCTCCTGTGGTCTGGAGGACTGGGCCTGGGTTTGCAAAAGGAATGCGTTTGCAGCCTGGGCAGCAGCAGCAGAGTTCTGGGAGATTTCCAAGATGGAGGCTTGCTGGATGGAGTGGGCCTTCACTGATTGGTGAAGAGACTAAAGCTCAGCTTCTTGTTGCGTCAGGCAGATCCCTTAAAGTGGATTGCCTCAGTAGAAAAATGATGTTCTGATGGCTCCATAGGTTGGCTGGATTGTTCTGTTACAAATTCCAGAACAGAGAGGAGCCACACACAAAATCACAGAGTATTCCATTATTGACCTTTAATGACAAAATGAAACTGTGCACAAAACGGTCTTTAAACAAGCTAATGTGCTCAGTCAGGCTGATGTCCCTGAAGGTGAGGACTTGGGCTTAGAAGAATGGAAGGTGCTGGACAGAAGTCAGCATTGAGGTGGTGAGCCTGAAGGACCAAGGCAGGTGTGCTCCTTTGGGCTGCGCAGAGGGCCAGACAGGAAGATGCGAGCAGCCAGGACTGCGGGACCTGAGATGGTAATCCTTGAGGGATAGTGAGCTTTTTAAGTTTTAGTCCCAAAATTTTTGGAGATGGTAGCTACAAAACAGTTGACAAGACAATGCAACAATCCAGCATAGGGAAAACAGCAACAGGGAACTTCAATACACAAGACAACAATTGAAGACCACAAAGGAAAAACAATCAGAGTCCAAATTTAGCATTTTTGTACATTTTATATAATATTTACAATAATATATAATAATATTATACATTATTATAATATGTTATATATTTTATATTTGTTGAATTTTTTTTCAGTGCTTTGTTTCTAAGATTGTTTTGAATTTTTAATTCATCATTTCTCCACAACGTGAAAATGTGACTCTGATCATTTTTTTTATTGTGGTCTTCAATTAACATATTGGGAAGGAGTGTGTGATGCACAGAAATGGAATACAAGTGGATGGGAAACAACAAGACAATAATTGAATAATTAGAAACAATCAGGGAAACAGAATCAAAACTGACACAGACAGCTGGATTGTGGGAGAAACCAATAACAAAACAAACAAAAAAAAACTCAGGAAGTGGCAACATCAGAATAATATGTATGATTACGATTTAAAACAAGATGTTCAATAAAATGAAACTTTGGAATTACTCAAAACATGGGCAATGGTTGCACACAATAATACATTGTATGCAGTTTATTTTGTATAAAGCTCAAATTGCATTTTAATTCAGTTCAAATATGCACATTAAGCATCTAAAAGGTCTTGGGAACATTCAGCACATCACCACTCTCCATATTGATGAGATTGGAATAAAATAAGGAGTGAAGTCTAAAGTTTATGGGTTTAATTTTTCCACACTGAATGATATTTTGGGATTTTCATGCGCATGGTAAAATCCAAAAATGCCTCCTTGTTAACATCCCGAATTCCGATTGTTTCCACTAGGCTCTCCTTAATCGTCCATCGCATTTTCTCAAGGTTGTTTCAAACAACCATTGGACTGACATCAGGAAGCATGTTACAAACGACAAAACTGGGTCTGTCTTTCCTCGCATTTTGACATCCCCATCAAGTAAAGTACCGGATAAAAGACAGGGCGGATTTTGGAGGGGGGTCCAACCCGGTACCTCCTTTGGACTCATTAAATTGGAGGCGTTGCCATGGGAATCGTCCGACACACAGCGATTAAACAATGAGATGCTTCTAAGACACAAAAGCCATGATGATGAAGAGTAATTCTCAAAAAGGCATCGGAAACATCATGGGAAATATTTCCTCCAGCGACCTTTATATAGCGGTACACATTTCTTGTCAAGGCGCACGAACTGCTAATACTCCTTGAAGTATGTTTGCTAAATGATCGCGTTGCCCGTTGCGCAGAACTTCAGGATCGACAAGCCACAGCTGTTACGGACTTAATATCTTGAGCACGCAATCCCAAAGGCTGGGATACAGACCTCTTTCTCAGAAAAGTCTTGGCGCCCTTTGGAATGCCGAGATGGCAAATGCGAGGAACCGTCTCCAAAAATGCTCAAAACTGTTTGTTCTACTTAATTTTATGGCGCTGACAGCCAATGCCATCGAGACAGGTAGGCCACACTCAGTTTTGAAGATTTACTCCTTCGTTTTCATCCTATTGCCACTTGTTGCAATTAGTCTGACGTTGCGCCTTGTGTGCGGAATATATTTATTGCTCTTGGCTATCCTGACAGCTACTCAGTGCTTTTGTTTCGACAGGAGTTTGCCTTTATAAAGCCTACAGATTATTGCTCTGAACTTAAATGATAATTAGTTTTTGTAGTATAATTTGAAGCCGAAGCCATGGGCAAATTTCGAACAAGAAAACAAGACACCATGACAGCAGTTCTTGAAGAGCAGGGAGCTATCGAAGGATAAATCGAACTGGACTATAACGCAATTCATTGATATTTTCTTTCATAATGGTCTTATAAATTACATTATAATGCATTATTTCATTTCAAATTGCAGTGCGCTATTTATCCCATACATATAGCCCTCCGTTATACCTCAGATCGGGGACTACCAAATTCGCATTATAATAAGTGTACTGTATTTTACAATGTGTGCATATTATTATTATCTCATGTTTTACTGCGACTACTGGGCATATTATTACTACCACTACTACTACTACTACTACTACTACTAATAATAATAATAATAATAATAATAATTATTATTATTATTATTATTATTATATAGGAATACTGTGGGCAACAGCTTATCCTAAGCACCAGGTAATTTTTTCTTCATTGTTTTAAATGTACGTTTGCCACACACATTTGCCAGTGATCAACCAGTGACAATTGCTCGGTCAAAATGCGCGCCAACACGTCTCTTGCATCGTGATTCTGGAACTTGAGCGCCTTAAATTAAATAATTTAAACAGAGCATATTTAGGCCAAACGATGTTTTCGCATTCAAAGAACATGCCATCCGACATTATGCTCTAGGGTACGCCGAATCAGTAGCTGTAAATTTCGCGTCACATTTTCAAATGAATGGTTACGGCCTGTACATTCACTTTCGCTGCACTTAATGAACCACTTTGTGTCATGTTTGCCCTTGTTCGTCAGAACGTGCGCATAGTTTGCAAAACCGTTGTTATTAAATGTTACGTCTAATTGTGTTCCCATGGATTCTCTGAAGGTTCTTGCGGAGACTTTAACTGGATGTTGGCTTAGAGTGACTCATTGACGACAAAACAAGACGAAGATCTATGCGAAGCTTTTTTTTTTGCCCTCCAAAGGCGCATTCTTTTCCTTTTCTGCTATAGTTCTCGTTTCTAACACGGCTTCTGTCTCGCGTGTATTTACTGGGCTTTGGACCACTACCTGATTCAGTACGGAGCAGGCCTGACTAGTAAACCAGTTTACTGTGGGACGTCCTGTTCTAGTGTTGCCTTCTCAAAGCCTTCAAACATCTTTACTGAATATTTGAAGGATGGATGGCTCCACAAAATACAGGTTTCTTTGGACGCACCATCTGGACAGCATTGAAGGATTTGCAGGTCGCCCTTGGATACAGAGCTAATAAATGTTCAAGGAGGATAAATCTCCCTATTATTTGGGAAGAGCCCAAATGGGGGCATGCTGGAAAAAGCACCAAGCTTGTATTAACACATTCCATGCTTTCATAAAAACACACAGATCTGGTGATGCAGGCATACATTTATTTTGATTTGGGAATAATATTGTTGCAGTAGAATGATCTTGCTTCATTGTGCAGCCTTAGTATGTAGAGACCTGTAGATCAGGTGTCACATGCTTGGGCTCAGTAATGAACTAAAATGAAATTGTGTCCATGTAATTCTGATGAGCAAAATAAGTTTTTCTTATTACTTCAGAATTGTTTTCCTCATAGTAAACCTCGTGGACTTCTGTGGCCAAATCATTCGAGACGACGGCATGATCGTCAACTCCCACCGCGATTCCCGGAAGTACTACTTTGTCACCATGGGAACGGACTGCCACCTCACAATGCAGGCCGCCACCCCCAAGGACAAGGTGCAGTTCCACTTTCGCTTCTTCCTGGTTTACAGCCTGTTAAGGGTATCTCCCCTGTACCCGCTGCTGAGCCCCACCCCACTGTTTCCGGAGGCTTGGCGTAACCTCTCCCTGTCCGGACCAACTAACCCTGGGGTTCGTCCAGAGCCCACCATTGGGTACTGG